CCACAAACGTAGGTCTATCATTAAATATATATATATATATATATATATATATATATATATTTATAAATGGTAAATGGTAAATGTATTCTATGTCTTTTGACTTCAATCTATGACGAAGTTTTGGCTCTAGCGTAAACAGGACTTATACTGTTTTGACTCTCGTGTAAATCGAACAGATTTTACCCTTTTGACTTAAGTTTTATCCGATTTACTTTTTGAATTAAGCGTAAACCTGGCGTATGCTTTCTTTTTGACTCATTTGTAAACCAGGCCTAAATCTATGTGTCTGTTAGTTCGTTGTTATTTTTATCGACAATAACTGAAAAATTGTTGATAAGTCGTTAAATCAACCAGCGTATCTAACTTCCTACGCATACTAACACTGACTGTTTACCTAGTTGCCATTACTATATAAGTATCGGCGTAATCCTGGCCAGCCGATTGTTGTATAAATTTGCGATTTTGTTCTCTTTTCGCACTAAATAACAAGTAACTTTACTAACTTGAAAATGTAATTCCAGTTCAATATCTGTCATTCACGAATGAATTAGATCTGAAAAGTCACCACTTTTCAAAGTCAGTTTCTCCGATTAACTTCAGAACGACGATCTGCCCAGAGTAAGGCATGGCCCAAGTCATGAGTTATACATGTGTTGTAACCTAGGAAAGATTACTGAATGAGAAATAACAAAAACGGAGATTGGAAATGAAATGGTAATCTTTGTAACATCATCAAAATACAATACTCGCCAGCGCCGTGAAGTAGGTAAACCACTGCTAGTGGTGGATTACTTAGCATATTATCCCCACTTACAATAGTGTCCAACGTATTTAGGAGGATTGGGACATACAAATTAGTGATCATAGGTACGATATATAACACTATCTGTCGCACTTCAAGATCTATCTATCTGTTGTAACCTAGGAAAGATTACTGAATGAGGAATTACCAAAACGGACGTTGGAAATGAAATGGAAATCTTTATAACATCAACAAAATACAATACTCGCCAGCGGCATGAATTAGGTAAACCACTGCTAGTGGTGCACTACTTAGACAGCATATTACCCCTACTTACAATATTGTCCAATGTATTTATGAGGATTGAGATATATCCATAAGTGTCCATAGGTACGTTATATAACACTCGGTTCAAGTTATATCTATCTATCTATCTATCTATCTATCTTTTATAACGTAGAATGGGTTACTGAATGAGGAATAACAAAGACAGAGGTTGGAAATGAAATAGTAATCTTTATAATATCAACAAAATACAATACTCGCCAGCGGCATGAATTAGGTAAACCACTGCTAGTGGTGCACTACTTAGCATATTACTCCACTTACAATTGTGTACAATGTATTTATGAGGATTGGGACATACTTATTAATGTTCATACGTACGGTATATAACACTATCTGTCTCAGTTCAGGTTCTCTCTCTCTCTCTCTCTCTCTCATCTTTATCTATCTATCTATCTATCTATCTATCTATCTATCTATCTATCTATCTATCTATCTATCTGTCTGTTGTAACCTGGGAATGATTACTGAATGAGGAATAACCAAAACGGATGTCGGAATTGAAACGGTAATCTTTATAACATTAACAACAACAACAACAAAAAAAAATACTCGCCAGCGCCATGAAGTGGGTAAACCACTGCTAGTGGTGCATTACTTAGCATATTACCCCCACTTATAATAGTGTTCAACGTATCTATGAGGATTGGAACATACCCATTAGTGTTCATAGGTACGGTATGTAACAACATCTCATCTTCAACTTGTTTTTATTTACCTTCCATTCTCCCGAATAAGAACTGGCGATGCCATCTTGCAGTTTATTAGTACTGAAGTGAAAAGGATCCTAACTGGGTGTCCATCACATTTAACTTGGTATTGTGCTTGGATTAATAATCATTATCGTCATTATAGTTTGCAGTGAAGAATGTTAAAAAAAACATGCCGGAGTAATAAAGAAGAAGAAAAGGAATGGCTGAACAAGAAGAAGGAAGAAAAAGAGGATGAAAGGAAGTAAAAGGAAAGGGATATTGGAAAGAAAAATGAGAAGAATGGAAAGGGGAGCTAAAAAGAACGGGCGGAAGAAAAGAGGAAGAAGGAAAGGGAATTTGTAAAGATGAAGAAGAAGGTGATGAATGGGAAATGAGATGAAAGGAAAGATATAGGAAAAGAAAAAGAAGATTAGAAAGAACAAGAAGAAAGAAAAAGAAAGAAAAGAGGAGGAGAAGAAGAAAAAGAAAGAAAAGAAGAAGAAGAAGAATGAAAGAAAGAAAGAAAAGAGGAGAAGAAAAAGAAAGAACAGAGGAGAAAAAAAAGAAAAAGAAAGAGAAGAAGAAGAAGAAGAAGAAGAAAAGAAGAAGAAGAAGAAAAGAAAGAAAGAATAGAGGAGAAAAAGAAGAAAAAGAAAGAGAAGAAGAAGAAGAAGAAGAAAAGAAAAGAGGAGAAGAAAAAGAAAGAACAGAGGAGAAAAAGAAGAAAAAGAAAGAGAAGAAGAAGAAGAAGAAGAAGAAGAAGAAAGAACAGAGGAGAAAAAGAAGAAAAAGAAAGAGAAGAAGAAGAAGAAGAAGAAAAGAAAGAAAGAAAAGAGGAGAAGAAAAAGAAAGAACAGAGGAGAAAAAAAAGAAAAAGAAAGAGGAGAAGAAAAAGGAGAAGAAGAAGAAGAAAAGAAAGAACAGAGGAGAAAAAGAAGAAAAAGAAAGAGAAGAAGAAGAAGAAAAGAAGAAGAAGAAGAAGAAGAAGAAGAAGAAGAAGGAAAGAAAAGAGGAGAAGAAAAAGAAAGAACAGAGGAGAAAAAGAAGAAAAAGAAAGAGAAGAAGAAGAAGAAAAGAAGAAGAAGAAGAAGAAGAAAAAGAAGAAGAAGAAGAAGAAGGAAAGAAAAGAGGAGAAGAAAAAGAAAGAACAGAGGAGAAAAAGAAGAAAAAGAAAGAGAAGAAGAAGAAGAAAAAGAAGAAGAAGAAGAAGAAAGAAAAGAGGAGAAGAAAAAGAAAGAACAGAGGAGAAAAAAAAAAAGAAAAGAAAGAGAAGAAGAAGAAAAAAAGAAGAAGAAGAAGAAGAAGAAGAAGGAAAGAAAAGAGGAGAAAAGAAAAGAACAGAGAAGAAAAAAAAAAAAAGAGAGAAGAAGAAGAAGAAAAAAAAAAGAAGAAGAAGAAGAAGAAGAAGAAAGAAAAGAGGAGAAGAAAAAAAAGAACAGAGGAGAAAAAGAAGAAAAGAAAGAGAAGAAGAAGAAGAAGAAGAAGAAGAAGAAGAAGGAAAGAAAAGAGGAGAAGAAAAAGAAAGAACAGAGGAGAAAAAGAAGAAAAAGAAAGAGAAGAAGAAGAAGAAGAAGAAGGAAAGAAAAGAGGAGAAGAAAAAGAAAGAACAGAGGAGAAAAAGAAGAAAAAGAAAGAGAAGAAGAAGAAGAAAAAGAAGAAGAAGAAGAAGAAGAAGAAGGAAAGAAAAGAGGAGAAGAAAAAGAAAGAACAGAGGAGAAGAAAAAGAAAGAACAGAGGAGAAAAAGAAGAAAAAGAAGAAGAAGAAGGAAAGAAAAGAGGAGAAGAAAAGAAAGAACAGAGGAGAAAAAGAAGAAAAGAAAGAGAAGAAAGAAGAAAAAGAAGAAGAAGAAGAAGAAGAAGAAGGAAAGAAAAGAGGAGAAGAAAAAAAGAACAGGAGAAAAAAAAAGAAAAGAAAGAGAAGAAGAAGAAGAAAAGAAGAAGAAGAAGAAGAAGAAGAAGAAGGAAAGAAAAGAGGAGAAGAAAAGAAAGAACAGAGGAGAAAAGAAGAAAAAAGAAGAAGAAGAAGAAAAGAAAGAACAGAAAGAAAAGAAGAAAAGAAAGAAAGAAGAAGAAGAAAAGAAGAAGAAGAAGAAGAAAAGAAAGAACAGAGGAGAAAAAGACGAAAAAAGAAAGAGAAGAAGAAGAAGAAAAAGAAAGAACAGAGGAGAAAAGACGAAAAAGAAAGAGAAGAAGAAGAAGAAAAAAGAAAGAACAGAGGAGAAAAGAAGAAAAGAAAGAGAAGAAGAAGAAGAAAAGAAAAGAAGAAGAAGAAGAAGAAAGAAAAGAGGAGAAGAAAGAAACAGAAGAAAAAAAAAAAAGAAAGAAAGAAGAAGAAAAAGAAGAAGAAGAAGAAAAGGAAAGAAAAGAGGAGAAAAAAGAAAGAAAAGGAGAAAAAGAAAAAAGAAAGAAAAGAGAATAGAGAAAAAAAAAAAACAGAGAAGAAGAAGAAGAACAAGGAGGAGGAGGAGGGTGGGGAAAGGTGCCTGGAGAATGTGCTTAAGAAGCTTTAAGTGTCTTTTGCAAATGTCATCGGATTAGTGGAAGGTCCGAAATAATGAAATTGACCTATGGCAACTTCTGTGACGAAATCATGAAACCATTACTCTTATCTCGAAGTTACTTGTTTCTTGGATTCTGTTTTGTTTGTCCAAAAAGAAAATGTTAAAAACAAAAACAAAAAAAAAAAAGAAACGAGTATAAGTTCCATTGTTTATCAATCGAATATATTGACGTAGAACATTTGCAATCAATGCGTAAACTAACATCAATTCAAAGGTTTCATTAATGTCATACAAGCCTTGCCTACTCGAAAGAATAGTTTAACCCAATCTTCTAACACCCATCCTCCAACACCATCTGACTTTGTAAAGAAATACAATTAACTTGGTAAAAAAAGAATTCCCAGCGATCCTCATTAACCATAGCTATTTACAAAACATTCTGACACAAAAGGCCATCAGTAGCGACCTCCCACTAGAGATGGTTACCGTTATCGAGTAGGAAATCTTGGCCAAACTATCTTTTTAAATATTGTTCTACAACTATTTCAGTTTCGTATTTATTCAGTTTTGTCTTGATTAGCACAAGGCTAAAGGTGTGGCGTATAGGTTATTATTTGGTTGTTGGTAGATTTTAAAATTATCAAATCTTGCTGGCGTAACGTCAAAATATACATTTTTTTCGTTATTGTTTTGTTTTTACTTGAGTCTGTATTGAGCTTAAGGTCATAGCAAGTTTATGCACCGGTTCCCGTAAGATAACCTATGTTAAGCAAAGTCGAGCCTGGTCAGTAACTAGATGGGTAGCCGCTTTGGAATTCCAGGTGCTGTAAACCTGGATGTGCGGGTAGTGTAATGGATAAGAGGACGGATTTTTTAAATCAGGGAGCCGGTTTCCAGTTCCGGTTGGGTTCGTTATATTCACTTACGAGCGAATGCCCTTGAGAAAAGGTATCAATTCACTCCTTCTCCTCCTAGATATGGATACATTTACTTAAACTTGTATCACTAAATCATGATTATCGCTAGGGGTTATAGACGCGTTGGGATTCCTTCTGTCCTAGAAAATGTAAGATAAACATAATTAGAACCCTAGTTCATAGGGCATTAATGATATGTTCAGAGTCTTTCTTGGATGATGAAATCAATTTTGTAAAGAAAACCTTATGTGGTTTAGGGTATCTCCCCCGATACTGTTAATTCGGTCATCCGGAACAAGATTGTGGAGTTCAAAAAGGTCAAACTTTGTACTGTTAAAAAGTGCCCTGTTTATCTTAGATTGCCTGGATTGGATCCAAGTGTGAAAGCATAATTAGGTAGATTTCAGCTAATGTTCGTCGTTGTTTTTTCTCGGCTGAGGTCCGTATAGTTTTTAAAACCCGGCCTATGTTTCGTTCTGGGTGTAAGGATGATCTCCCTCCCCATCAAATTAATTCTATTATTAACAAATACGTTTACAGTTGCGGTGCTGACTACATAGGGAGAACCACTCAACGCCTGGACATGAGGAGTAAACAACATATTCCCACCAAGATCAGGAATCACACCTTATCTTTGAATGGACGTGTCCCAAATACCTGTGGTTCCGCCATATGTGAACACCTCTTAAATAACAGAGGGTGTGCAGCTAATTTCAGTGCCGATTGGTTAAGTGTTCTGTCCCGGTCACACACTCTAGTTCATTTCAAGGTGCTGGAGGAACTTTATATCGGGGACCGCAAACCTTCCCTCTGTAAATAGCGTGAATGCTTGGTGGGGCTCGCTATTATTTATCCCTAGGTCTTTGTGTTCATATTTTTTATTTTTTTTCACTTCTCCTTCTCATCACACATTTTCTGTTCTTTTAATTTCAGTTAAATCTCCCGTGGAAGCCCGAAGAGCGGGAGCGAAACCGGTTTGCTTCGTTTTTAACATGCCATTTAATATTAAGCTACACACTTTTATTTCTGTAATTAAATTTGTACCTTCAAAAATATTTTCATATATATATATATATATATATATATATATATATATATTTTTTTACAATTGGAATTAAGATACCTTTTAATAAATGACCATTTTCACCTACGAGTTTTAATTTCAAATTTTTATATATATATAGGTAATGGTTCTATATATATATATATATATATATATATATATATATAGGATATGTATATATATATATATAAAATATATAGGATATGGTTCTATATATATATATATATATAAATATATAGGATATGGTTCTATATATATATATATATATATATAAATATATAGGATATGGTTCTATATATATATATATATATATAGGATATGGTTCTATATATATATATATATATATAAATATATATATATATATATATATATATATATATATATATATATATATATATATATATATATATGGATATGGTTCTATATATATATATATATATATATATATATATATATATATATATATATATATATAAATAGGTTCTATATATATATATATATATATATATATATATATATATATGTTCTAGAACATTCGCCGTAAAAACTTTTGGCGTGGGAAAAACTCGCCTCAGGAATTTTGCCGTAGAAAACCTTTTGTATAGGGATTTTGCTGTAGAAAACCTTGCTGTATAGGATTTTTGCCGTAAAACAATTTCGGCGCATTTATTTTTTAATATGCGAAGTACCTTAAGAAAGGTATGAATCCTCTTCTTCTCACCCCTCCTACAAGGTATGTGTAAATAGCAGGACAGACCGGGATCTATAGCCTTGGATGGCAACTGGTCTACCCTAGAAAGAAATGGCAACCTACTGCAGGAAAAAAAATCTGCCTCGTCAGTCATGTATCGAAAGATACATGATCGCCCAAGTGTGTATCACGCATGGCACATAACTGACTGAAGTGAACCCAAAATGGTAGCTCTATCTGTTGAGATATATACATTTGAATTTTCGCTTGATGTGTTACAGGAAACCAAATATTATTTCTTAATTATCAGAAAGTAGAGTAAATGTAGCAGTGTTAATCAATGAGAAAGTGATTTCATCTTTTATAATAGACTAGCAGTAGAGCCCGGCGTTGCCCGGGGATGTAACAGTAAGAAATAGATCAAGTATCGACTATCATAAAGACTGAAAAATAAAATTGACAAAGATTATTGTGTAAGCTTGACGGACACGCATGTCTTAATTATTATTATTATTTTTTTTTTTACGAATTCGTCAAACTCAAACAAAAACATTGTTTCCAATCGTTATGAGTCTATCGATTGAATAGAATTTTATTATAAACAATTGTCTTGTAAATGGAATTTTTAAAGCATTCTGAATGTAAAAATAAAGAAAAAAGTGTGCAAGACAATAAGAAACACTACCTGCCCCCAAAAAGTGAAGTTTTGTTGAAATCGGTTGAAAAATGTAGGAAATCCGATCCCATATATAAATGAACACACACACACAAACAACCTGGGTTTTATAAGTATAACTCGATATAAGTTGTCCCTTTTTCATTCTGGCGACAGAATCGTGTTTTATTGTGTTTTAAAATTGATTTCGTGCAAAAACATTGTATTTTTTCCAATTTTTGGCGCTGTCAGAACCACCGCAAGTTAATTTTACGCAGTCCTGGGAAGTTTTGTTGAAATCGGTTGAAAAATATAGGAAATTCGATCCAATATATAAACGTGTGCACGTGCACGTGCACACACGCACACACGCACGCACACACACACACACACACACACACACACACACACACACACACACAATCTGCGTTTTATAATAAGTAAGATACTCATCAACCAAGCATAAAACTACAATGGCAAGCAAGAGAAATATGTCGCCGAGTTAAAAACAAATGAACGAACAAACAAAAACTTTAATTTGTTGAATTATTTCTAAGAAGATGTCAGTATTTTGACTTTCAGGAGTAGTATTTGTGGTCATTCAGGACTGCAATAGTGTAGTGTATATAGTCATTCAAGTCTATAACGCAAGATTTTGTATTCACCTGGCCACTGATCCGGACGCATCGTGATACTGTCATATTTAGTTTTCATATAATTGTTCTTCATATATAAAATCTATTATATATCGTTTTCTCATATATATATATATATATATATATATATATATATATATATATATATATAAACTTAAGATCCTAGAAGGCTTTTATATAAGAGAATTAAAGCCTCAAATAAAATTAATTATAGTATAGCAATAAAGTTTTAAATGTTTCTATCGGCAAAAGAAGATATATATATATATATATATATATATATATATATATATATAAAGATAATCCTAAGGAGCCAGGCAAACCTACCTAGGTTTCACCTAAACAGATCTTCAGGGTAATGCTGAATTCCAAACGAGTACCACCATTTATATATATATATATACCTAGTGAGCCAGACAAACCTACCTAGTTTTCACCTAAACGGATCGTCAGGGAAAATCTTGACTTTCCCTGACGATCCGTTTAGGTGAAACCTAGGTAGGTTTGTCTGGCCCACTAGGTGTATCTAGATCTGCTCTACGGTTGTATTGAGCGCTTTTGTTAGTTAGTTGTTTACTCGTATCGGGGTTTTTTCTTTGGGCTTCAGACCTGAATCTGTGCGATTTTCTGTCGACAGAAGTTCATGTTTGTAGCTCTTTCTTTTTTTAAAACCTTTTTTTCCTCGAGATTGATTTGATTAGCAAATCAAAAATTCGAGGGTTTTTCGAAACGAGTCTAGTTATCTAAAGTAAGAAATACAAAAGTTTCCTCACTTGCACGAAAAAAAAAGTCGTGAATTTAAAATCGATATAGAATGATAAAAACGCAGTAAAACGAACAAGAAATATGTTTTGAATTTACAGAAATACGTATACACGTACACAGACAATTTAACCCCCTGAAAATGGTGTCAGTTCAGACTGAAAGTACTTGGGAAAATAAAAATTATCTGAAAGAAAATGTTTGTATCTTTCTTAATCAATTATCTATTGCTATCAAAAAATGGACACGTGGACTCGAAAGGATTAAAACGCAATTAAACAGATATAGTATCTCTAAATTATTTATACAAACCTGTTTCAGTGGAAACATGCAGCCTAAATACACAAATTTTAATATATATATATAACTCGTCCACTAAGAAGATTGTTTACAAGAAGGGCAAAAGTCAGGTTCAATGAGCTCTCAGAGCCATAAAAGAGCATCGGTCGTCTAAAAAAGCCACCGAACTCCAAGAAGCTTCAGATATAATGGATGTAAAAGCTTTGTATTCTGGCCTCAAGAGGGTTTTCGTTTAATATTTTGACCGTGTTTTGAAAATGAAAACATTATATAAATACATACATACAACAATCTCTTTCTGGTTAGCAGTTAATATATTTCAACCAGTAAAATGGCTAAATGTATAGCCGAACGCGCCTGGAAAAAAGGAACAATTGGACAGTTTTTATATAATTTTTCTACCGAAAAGAAAAAAAAATTATTAGATCACATGAGAAATTGTATAAAAGACTAAATCAAATCACCTTGTCTGACGTATTCAATATAAATATATATATATATATATATATATATATATATATATAAAAGACTCAAACATTCCATGGTTTTTTAATTTATTATATTGAATTCGAAATCACGATTCAAATCATCAGACCCAAAAATTGAATCTGTAGGTCTGATGAATTAGATCGTGATTACGATTCCAATGTAATAAATTATAACCATGGAATATTAGTCTTTGAGCCTTTTATATTATATTCTTACTCTGTCCTGGACATTGAGTTCTACCTGGATTCTATCCCCTTGGGAATTCATATATATATATATATATATATATATATATATA